AAGAGACCTCATGGGCCATCCAGTCCAACCCCATTTTGCCAAGAAGCAGGAATATTGCATTCAAATCACCCCGACAGATAGCCATCCAGCCTCTGTTTAAAAGCTTCCAAAGAAGGAGCCTCCACTGCTGAACGGCTCTCACAGTCAGGAAGTTCTTCCTCATGTTCAGATGGAATCTCCTTTCTTGTAGTTTGAAGCCATTGTTTCACGTCCCAGTCTCCAGGGAATCATAGAATCAAGAGTTGGAAGAGACCTCATGGGCCATCCAGTCCCACCCCCTGCCAAAAAGCAGGAATATTGCATTCAAAGCACCCCTGACAGATGGCCATCCGGCCTCTGTTTAAAAGCTTCCAAAGAAGGAGCCTCCACCACACTCCGGGGCAGAGAGTTCCACTGCTGAACGGCTCTCACAGTCAGGAAGTTCTTCCTCATGTTCAGATGGAATCTCCTTTCTTGTAGTTTGAAACCCTTGTTCCACAGTCCATCAGTTCTATATAAGTCAACACGTCAGCAAGTCAGCCTAATCTACAAAGGCCTGATCCCATAGCCAGGATTTTACTTGTTTCCGGAAGGGCAGGAGGGATGCAGCAGATCTAATTTCACTCGGGAGGGAGTTCCATAGCTGGGGGACCACCACAGAAAAGGCCCTGTCCCTTGTCCCCGCCAGACGCAATTGCGACCATGGGGGAACAATGGCAAGCATTCTCAGGGGTAGTGAGGTCTGTTGGAACTAGGAAAATGGGTTTATGTATCTGTAGAACAACCAGGGTGAGACAAAGGATTCTTGTCTGTTGGAGCTAAGTGTGAATGTTTCAACTGACCACCTTGAGTAGCATTTGATGGCCTGGCAGTGCCTGGGGCAATCTTTTGTGCCCAAACAGGCACTACAGACTACTTCAATCAGAGAAGTCAGCCATAGCAGAGCACCTGATGAACCAACCTGGACGTAGCATATTATTTAAACATGTGCCAACAATGTGATGTGGCAGCAAAAAAAGCCAGTGGGATTTTGGCCTGCATCAATAGGACCATAGTGTCTAGATCTAGGGAAATAATGCTACCCCTCTATTCCGCTTTGGTTAGACCACACCTGGAATATTGTGCCCAATTCTGGGCACCACAATTCAAGAGAGATATTGACAAGCTGGAATGTGTCCAGAGGAGGGCGACTAAAATGATCAAGGGTCTGGAGAACAAGCCCTATGAGGAGCGGCTTAAGGAGCTGGGCATGTTTAGCCTGAAGAAGAGAAGGCTGAGAGGGGATGTGATAGCCATGTATAAATATGTGAGAGGAAGCCACAGGGAGGAGGGAGCAAGCTTGTTTTCTGCCGCCCTGGAGACTAGGACACGAAACAATGGCTTCAAACTACAAGAAAGGAGATTCCATCTGTACATGAGGAAGAACTTCCTGACTGTGAGAGCCGTTCAGCAGTGGAACTCTCTGCCGGAGTGTGATGGAGGCTCCTTCTTTGGAAGCTTTTAAACAGAGGCTGGATGGCCATCTGTCAGGGGTGATTTGAATGCAATATTCCTGCTTCTTGGCAGGGGGTTGGACTGGATGGCCCATGAGGTCTCTTCGAACTCTATTCTATGATTCTATGATTTGAGAACACAGAAATGCTGGACCACTCTAACAACCACCATGTCAGACTACACAGGGAAGCCATTGAAATCCACAAGCATGTGGACAATTTCAACAGAAAGGAGGAAACCATGAAAATGAACAAAATCTGGCTACCAGTATTTAAAAAAAACTCTAAAATTACAACAGCAAAACAACAGACAGGAAACAATCTGGGACATCTAATCACCTCTCAACAAAAGATTGCCCCAGGCACTGCAGGCCATCAAATGCTAATCAAGGTGATCAGTTGAAACATTCACACCTAGCTCCAACAGACAAGAGTCCTTTGTCCTACCGTGGTCATTCCACAGATATATAAACCCTTTTTCCTAGTTCCAACAGACCTCACTACCTCTGAGGATGCTTGCCATAGATGCAGGCGAAACGTCAGGAGAGAATGCCTCTAGACCATGGCCATATAGCCCAAAAAACCTACAACAACCCAATCCACTTTTCATTTTTCACATGCATTCTAATTTGGATAGTATGTTTATAACCTGCTTCTAACAGTATGGCCAAACTGTTTACCAGTATTTAGCCTGGTATCTACCAAATGAACATGTCTTCAGATGTGATTAAATTTTAATAGAGTTATTGTTGTGGCTCAGCTGGAGCCTCAGGAAGAGTAGGAAGGGGATGATGGGTTTCAGATTCCTGAACATGTTCCTATTGTTGATACAAACAATGTTGATGATTAAGACGAGGAGTTCCAGTTTCCCATGAGAAAGGATGTTGTCTTAGAAGATGTTTCTGATCTTAGTAAAACTTCACAGGTGCAGGTGGAGGAGTCGAGCCAGCCTGTGAGCGCTCTGCCTGCTGATTCTCAGGCTGGCAATTCCCAACTCCAAGATAATGAGTTATTCGACCTTGAAGGCTCTGCAGATCTAGGTAGGGAGGATCGTTTGCAATTCAGGGTTCACCCTAGTACAAGGCTTGCAAACAAGAAAGAGGTTAGAGGTCATGCTGGGAAAGTATATTTAGTGAGCTGATTGAAGGCAACCTTTTGTCAGTGCAACTTCAGCGAACACCCTGATAACTTCTTGGAATTGCCTGGGCTTTGGGGCAATGCTTTTGGCTTCTTGGGACTTTGATTTGGATTTTGGCTTCTTGGGACTCTGTTATGCTGCCATGGAATCTTGTTTGATCAATGCTTATGGATTATGCTTCATGTTATTTGCCTTTGGACCTTGGGAAACTCTGCCTTTGCATTTAAGACTCTGTTTGGCTATTGAACTTTTGCAATCTTACTTTTGTGTTTAAAACTTTGCCTTTTCTTTAATAAACTACAAAACCTACAGCCTTGGTGTGTGTGGTGTTCTGAGCAAGGTGAAGCTATCCTGAGGTGCGACAGTTATAGGTAAAGAAATGCATGTCTCAAGGGGAAAATCCAGCAGTTTACAGTAAAAACAAGTACTGAACAAGAGACAAGATTAATAAGATTTGCAAACACAAGACCAAGTTTTATTATAATTGGAAACAGGACAAGAGATTTGAGCATTTAAAATTTATCTGACTATAAACAACATATTCCAGAGAAGTACAACTTAATAAATCGCTCTTTTTGCTTTTTACTAATGCAGGCACTTCAAAAGCTTATTCTGAAAACTTATATAAAGTTGACCCACTTGAAAAAAAATTGAAAAATTTTATATACTGGACACAATTTTACTACCTCACTGTATATAATGAGACTTGAGCATCCACAGATTTTGATATTCATGAAGGTCCTGAAACTAATCCTCAGTGGAAATGAAGGGCTCAATGTAAATACACAAACTGGAGGGCTTCCATGAGTGGCATAAATCAAAAACTATCAATGGGAATAATGCACAGCTCCATGTTGTAGCTCTGCTAGAGCTCTTTGTGTAAAGAGGAAAGTGTGTCCTTAAACTTCCAGAATGACATGGGATTGTTAGGGTTCACTCTTACTGATTTGTCATGGTTACCAGAAAGAAAGAAAGAAAGAAAGAAAGAAAGAAAGAAAGAAAGAAAGAAAGAAAGAAAGAAAGAAAAAGAAGCATTGGAGGAAATTTGCCTTGAATTCCTCTAAAGGATATGGCTGATTTTAGCATCACTGTGTTCATCTTATATCATTGTAGTCATCTTTCTTCATTTAGCTCACTCTTGACTATATGTCTGATAAACTCATGCTACTTTTTTTACTACAACAATACAAAGAGGCCCAGGCTATGAAATGGTTTACATCTTAGAGAGGGAAAAGCTTGCATTCATTACAGTTTATACCAAAGAAAAGCACTAAACGTTTTAAGGTATTTATGATTCATTTTATAGTTTGTACAATATTTTTTTACCAATATGTAATTGCACTTGGTCATAAAACTCCAAAGGCATTTAAGAAGTAAGATCATAATTGCCGGAACAGAGATCACAGTCTGTTTTCATGCAGAAATAAACCTTCCTTCGTTAATTTAAGCGTCAATTTCTGATCTGGTTGGTTCACATCAGATTTAGGCATACTGGGATCATCCATATCATACTCAGCACCTGACCCAAATTCTGGATCTCCTTCATTTCCAGATCCATATTCATCTCCAGAAAGCTGGAAAGCATCAGGATAGTCTTGAAATTCTTTCATTCTGCAATACAGATTTTCAGAAGATCATATATATATGGATATAACGCCTTCCTTACCACCCCCAACAAATAAACCCAGGATAAACTGTTAGTATTAAATTAACATAAAAGTAATGAAATTCACTATTTATCTTTGGTTTGTTAGAACTGGAGGTGGTACACTATCCTCCCTAGATTTTTCTAAGGATGCAAATAAAAATGGGTGAGAAAAATCAATTTCTTGCACCAGTGCATTCCCCTGATTGCAGTGGGCAGGTTCATTCTAACTTATTCACTCAGGTTAATTGTACTTGTATTTATTTATTTATTTATTTATACCGTCTTTCTCAGCCCGCAAGGCGGTTAACAAGGCAAAATTCAATGTTTCAATGCCTTAAATACAATTAAAAACATAACATTTAACAAAAACTAAACAAATTAATAAAATATAAATTCATAGTGTCTCCTTGTTAAAAAAGTTGTCCGAACTCATTGTCTAGTCGTTCCATTTTCCTGTGTCAGTTACCCTGCATTTGCAAACGCCTGTTCATAAAGCCACGTCTTGACTTTTTTCCGGAATGTTAAAAGGGGAGGTGGCTGATCTAATATCTATAGGGAGGGCGTTCCATAGCCGAGGGGGCACCACCGAGAAGGCCCTGTCTCTCATCTCCGCCAAACATACTTGTGACGAAGGCAGTAACTAGAGCAGGGCCTCCCCAGACGACCTTAAGGTCCAAGATGGTTCATATGGGGAGATGCGTTCGGACATGTAAGTTGGGCCAGAACTTATAGGCTAAAGCCAGCACTTTGAATTGTGCCCGGTAGCAAACTGGCAGCCAGTGGAACTGGTGCAACAGAGGAGTTATACGCTCTCTGAGTGCTGCTCCCCAAGGACATCAGGCACTCCCCAACACTGGCAGTCTTCAGAAGGAGCTTGAAAACATGGATGTTCCAGTGTGCCTTCCCAGATTAAGGAATCTCAAGCAATATGTCCCTAATGTACTTTATGAGAGAGTTAGAATTGTCTGCACACCCTTCTATTCCCAAAATATTCAGTCTACCTCACCTGGACATGCCCAGCATTTTTAGAATTTTAACTATTACATTTGGCCCTGCCACAGGTTTTTTAACAGTGTCGTGCTTTTGTTATTGTTTTATTGTTTGCTTATTAATTGTTGCATTGTATTGTTGTCTGTTGTGTTTTTGTTAATGATGTACTTTGGGCTCGGCCTCTTGTAAGCCGCACTGAGTCCTGCGGGAGATGGTAGTGGGGTACAAATAAAGGATTATTATTATTATTATTATTATTATTATTATTATTATTATTATTATTGGCAGCAAGCGGGCGAGAGAGAGAGAGAGAGAGAGAGCAGGCTTATCTGTGTATATATATTTAGAAATCAAGTCATGGTATTCTGAATAAAAGTAACCTCATTTCTACCAAAATATATTGCTAAAATGCAGGGTATCTGACACTGTCTGGGCAAGTAATGAAATGACTATGTTTTGCTCCATCACTCTCCATCACTCACATGCTTGGTATGCATTCAGAATTAGCAAAAAGTAGCATTCATATGTTAGATGAAAATTAATTTTACATACAGTTCTGGGTCAGCTTTGGGAGGAAGGATCATATTAGCACTTCCATCAGGAATGTCAAAAACTGGCCCTTGTTCTTCAATGCAATTTGCAAAACGGGCATTGGGTCTGCACCTCACGCGCATGTAACGGCCTCTTTGGACAGGACCCCCTGATAAAAAAACAGATAGATAGATATTAAAATCAGATATATTCATGAATTTCAGCAATTAATTAATGTGCCAACCCAGTAATATGAAATGCAAATAGTTATCCTCATTCTCACATATAATTTATGCAAAGCACAAATGTTAGAAGTTTCAAATAGTTGTCAAATAGAGGTCTGAAGACAAGCAAACTATAATTTCCGCCAGAATCCAAATAATCATTTCTCTGTCTTAATGCCAATTCATGGGAATACGATAATCGACTTTCTTTTCCTAACATTGATAGCAAAAAATGTAGCAATAAAGGATGGTGTTATGGTTGAAGGTAAATCAATAGTCTCTTGTTCTACAAGTTTGATTGTTTGCGTGTGGGTTCGTATTCAACCCACAGATTCTTTAAAAAGAACCTTCTGAATTTGTTTATGAGTATTTACAGGCTTTTAATTATAGGAGATAAGACAGTTTACAAGATGAAATAAATACTCCTCACATGACGATAAAACGTACACTAAAGTAAAATATCCAGAATCTAAAATACAAACACAGTGCTCAATTGTTTGCAGAGATCTTGCGGACATTGCATGATGCATTTACAAATATTGAATACTGCTTAAAGAAGTCAATTGGCATATGAAACAAGACCTTTGTTGGTATTCTATCTCCCCACGTGTACTAAAATCCTCAGTTTCACCTTATGATTAAGTCCTAACTCAGTTGAGGGGAGACATATATTATATTATTATTGTAATATTATTGTAATCTATTTTTTGCATGCTTATGTTTCAGACAATGGCCAGAATTGCCTCAGAGGACTGTGTGGCTCAAAGTTGGGCAACTCTGGCTTTCTGGATGTTTTTGGAGTTCAAAACCGACAATCCCTCATCTTTACCTAACTAAGGATCATGGAAATTTTAAGGTAAGAACAGCTGGAGGGTTAGAGTTGCCAGCTTTTGTAGTGAGGTCCACATCTGTAAGACCAGGATGATGTCTGTGATAGTTGAGGAACCCAATGTTTGTGCCACTGGTTATTTAATTCTAAACAAACAACACCAGCAGAAGCATCGTCTCCTATCCAATCCTTAAACCAGGGGTCCTCAAACTTTTTAAACAGAGGGCCAGGTCACAGTCCCTCAAACTGTTGGAGGGCCGGATTATAATTTAAAAAAAAATGAATGAATTCCTATGCACACTGCACATATCTTATTTGTAGTGCAAAAAACACTTTAAAACAATACAATAATTAAAATGAAGAACAATTTTAACAAATATAAAATTATTAGTATTTCAATGGGAAGTGTGGGCCTGCTTTTGACTTTATTTTATTTGTCGTGTCAGGACAACCAGTCAAATTATATTACATTTCTAACAGAACAAAGCAAACAAACAGACAGAATACAAAATTTGTGAGTTTGGTAGTTGATTAAATGTCCTTTGACCAGTATCTGGCCACTTGGAGTGCTTCTGGTGTTGCTGCAAGAAGGTCCTCCATTGTGCATGTGGCAGGGCTCAGGTTGCATTGCAGCAGGTGGTCAGTGGTTTGCTCTCCTCCACACTCGCATGTCGAGGATTCCACTTTGTAGCCCCATTTTTGAAGGTTGGCTCTGCATCTCGTGGTGCCAGAGCACAGTCTGTTCAGCGCCTTCCAAGTCGCCAGTCCTCTGTGTGCCCAGGGGGGAGTCTCTCATTTGGTATCAGCCATTGGTTGAGGTTCTGGGTTTGAGCCTGCCACTTTTGGACTCTCGCTTGCTGAGGTGTTCCAGCGAGTGTCTCTGTAGATCTTAGAAAACTATTTCTAGATTTTAGTCGTTGACGTGCTGGCTCATACTCAATCAGAGGATGAGCTGGAGATGTTTCTGCCTTGGTCCTTTCACTATTGGCTGCTACTTCCCGGCGGATGTCAGGTGGTGCAGTGTAATTTCGCCAGTGGTGTAGGGCGCAGACACCCCGTGATAATGCGGCATGTCTCATTAAGAGCCACATCCACTGTTTTAGTGTGGTGAGATGTGTTCCACACGGGGCATGCATACTCAGCAGCAGAGTAGCACAGCGCAAGGGCAGATGTCTTCACTGTATCTGGTTGTGATCCCCAGGTTGTGCCAGTCAGCTTTCGTATGATATTGTTTCTAGCACCCACTTTTTGCTTGATGTTCAGGCAGTGCTTCTTGTAGGTAAGAGCACGGTCCAGAGTGACTCCCAGGTATTTGGGTGCGCTGCAATGCTTTTGACTGATGAGATAGGATTGTTGTTGTTGTTGTGTGCTTTCAAGTCGTTTCAGACTTAGGTTGACTCTGAGCGAGGGCCGGGTAAATGACCTTGGAGGGCCGTATCCGGCCCCCAGGCCTTAGTTTGAGGACCCCTGCCTTAAACGTAGGGTTGAGTTTCATGTTCTGATTCAAACATTTCTCCCATTCACATCTTCCAATCTTACCTCGTACAAGTGGGAAGATGCAATAGGACCTGGCTGCGGAGAGCTCATGTATTTCCGTTTATCAGCAATGTGAAATAGCTGCTGCAGATGTTTCCTAATAGTCCCAGACTTAAGGAACTGAAGTGTCTCAGTTCAACTACTTCCTTTTCAGTTTAACCACATTCCAGCCTACTTTTTTTCTTCCTTTTTCTTTGAAGTTCAAAAGAGTAGAATGAAACACTTTAAGCTACGCAGAACTATTTGTGGATGTCATCTTTCAGCCCTCTCTTAAGTAGTATTAAATTATTATGTTGCACTCTTTTTTTGTTGTGTTCATCTTTTGTCCCTTTTTTTACTCTCAGTTACACTGAATTATTTTGGCAGCTGTCTTACCTGTAACTGCAGTGCCTCAGAAACCCAAAATTATTTAATTAAATAAAATAATATTTGGAATATCTACTGAAGATGGGCATGGTTTGTTTTTCTTTGTGCTCAATAACCTCAGTTCATGTTCAGTGGTTGCATGAACTCAAGGAGGGTGTTATCTTTGGTTTGGTTTTTCTCAAACAGCAACCATTTCACAAAATAAAGATTTACAAAAGCAGCTTGTACTATGACCATGATCCTGCCATTGAAAGGAAATGGAAAGTCAAAACCTTTACTGTAGAACTCAAAGATGTCCTTTAGAGGCCAGTTTAATTGTTTGAATACAAAGTATAAAACATACTCTTTCTGAGGTTGGACTACAGCCAGGGGCGGCTCAACCCATTTGCAGTATAGTTGATTTTGCCCAGGGGCGCTCTTGGGGGAAAATAGACCTTGACATATGTGAGTTGTAGTTACTGGAATGTGTAGTTCACCTACAATCAAAGAGCATTCTGAACTCCACCAATGATGGAATTGAACCAAATATGGCACACAGAACTCACACGACGAACAGAAAATATATATCAGTGATTGGTTGGGAGGAGGGGGGGGGGCAAAATACTGTTTGCTTACCGTTGAAAATTACCTAGGACCGCCTCTAACTACAGCAGTACGGCACGAGTGCCTGCAGTTCTGTTTCATTTGCCCAACTTGAAACTGAGAGATTTTACAAAACATGACATTGTGGAGTAAGGTAGAAAAAGGATGCAAATTCACTTCTTTAAGTCTCGATCCAGAGAGAAATTCAGGGTACAAATAAATATAATAATAACAACAATTACAACAATACCATTAATAGTACGTAAAAGATAGGATTTCTGAACATACAGAATGTTAATCAATAGGTACCGCTCCAGCGGGAAGGTAACAGCGCTCCATGCAGTCATGCTGGCCACATGACTGTGGAGGTGTCTACAGACAACGCCAGCTCTTCGGCTTAGAAATGGAGATGAGCACCACACCCCAGAGTCAGACACGACTGGACTTCATGTCAGGGGAAAACCTTTACCTACTCCAGGTTCTTTTGCATTTGGCAGTTTAGTTCCAACAGCTGTGGCGCTCTAGATGTTTTCCAACATACAACTTCAGGGCCCTGACTGTATAAATATAATGATGCAAGATTGTGGAAGGCAAAATCCAGAGACAGAGTTGCTCATCCTTGCATTACAGTACTATTTTCAAAACATTTATGTCAGAAAACCTCTATGCTAAATGTTGGTGGATACTATTTTGGCTTCTTTAAACAAGGTCTTGGAAAATGACTTTGCTTTAGAATACAGGTTAAATAAACGTAATTGTGAATTGCCTTTATATTTAATTATTTAGGTTGTAATTGAATACAAATTACTGTATATACTCGAGTATAAGCCTAGTTTTTCAGTCCTTTTTATAGGCTGAAAATGTTCCTCTTGACTTATACTCGGGTCAAGTTTATTTATTATTTTACTCTGTTATTACTTTTATTACATGTATTATTTTACTATTATTATTATTATTATTATTATTATTATTACATTTATCATTTTACTCAGTTATTATTACATCATTATGTCACTTTATTATTGTTATTATTACATGTATTATTTTACTCTATTATTGTTATTATTACATTTATTATTTTAATATATTATTACTGTTATTATTACATTTCCATTAATTTACTCTATTCTTCTTCTTATTATTACATTTATTATGTTACTCTCTTTATTATTATTGGAAGGATACATAAGCACATTTACACTGAAGCATCTTACAATCAGAGTTGGACAGTCTTATCTTAAACTAGCCGTCCTCTGCCACGCATTGCTGTGGCCCACATGGGGGTTCTGTGTGGGAGGTTTGGCCCAATTCTATCGTTGGTAGGGTTCAGAATGCTCTGTGATTGTAGATAAACTACACATCCCAGCAACTGCAACTCCCAAATATCAAGTTTCTATTTTCCCCAAACTCCACCAGTGTTCACATTTGGGCATATTGAGTATTCGTGTAGAGTTTGATCCAGATCCATCATTATTTGAGTCCACAGTGCTCTCTGGATGTAGGTGAACTACAACTCCAAAACCAAAGGACACTGCCCACCAAACCCTTCCAGTATTTTCTGTTGGTCATGGGAGAACTGTGTGCCAAGTTTGGTTCAATTCCATCGTTGTTGGGATTCAGAATGCTCTTTGATTGTAGGTGAACTATAAATCCCAGCAACTACAACTCCCAAATGACAAAATCATTTTTTTTTAGTGAAGGACATACATTGGGTTGTTAGGTGTCTTGTGTCCAAATTTGGTGTCAGTTCGTCCAGGGGTTTTTGAGTTCTGTGAATACCACAAACAAACATTACATTTTTATTTATATAGATAAAACCCCATTAAATTCAGTGCAATTAATTTCTGAGTGTTATGTAAATATTCAAAAACATTTAACCTTCTGATGCCTCAATTAATGTAATTTTATTGGTGTCTGTTTTTATTTTGAAATTTACTAGTAGCTGCTGCATTTCCCACCCTAGGCTTATACTCGAGTCAATACGTTTTCCCAGTTTTTGTGGTAAAATTAGGTGCCTCGATTTATATTCAGATCGGCTTATACTCGAGGATATACGGTACCCATGATTAGGTCTCACTAAAAGCAAGATATCCCTGAGGCCAACATTCATAAGTTTGTGCTGTACATATACTGTGTAGTAATCTTTTTGGAGCAGAGCCTCTGTTTCTTCACACTTACTTACACAAATTTCCTTTACTGCCGGAAGAAAAAGCTGAAGTCTTAACCGAGGAAGTTGCAGGGTTGGCCTAAGAGGTTTTGCTACCTGAGACAGAGCAAACCCATTCCTAGAGCCCTAAACGATTCTGGCCCAGCTTACTTGTCAGAACGTATCTCTTCCTATGAACCATCTAGGAGCTTAAGATCGTCTAGGGCAGGGGTCCCCAAACTTTTTGAACAGTCCCTCAAACTGTTGGCAGGAGAGCAGGCTGGGCCGCATCCCGGAGGCAGGAGAGCAGGCTAGGCCCACAGAGACGGAGGGCAAAGCGGACCCAAGCCGTTTTACCTGCCTCTTCCCCCCCCCCCCCCCCCCCCCCGCCTCCAGGATGCAGCAAGGCCGCATCCCGGAGGCAGGAGAGCAGGCTGGGCCCATGGAGACGGACCCAAGCCGCTTTGCCCACCGCCTCCCCCCCCCCTCCTGCCCCCTGAATGTGGCGAGGCCGCATCCCGAAGGCAGGAGAGCAGGCTGGGCCCACGGAGACGGAGGGCAAAGCGGACCCAAGCCGCTTTGCCTGCCGCCTCCCCCCCCTTCGCCTCCAGGATGCAGCGAGGCCGCATCCCGGAGGCAGGAGAGCAGGCTGGGCCCATGGAGATGGAGGGCAAAGCGGACCCAAGCCGCTTTGCCCCTCCCCCCCCCCTCCTGCCTCCTGAATGTGGACTGCATCCCGAAGGCAGGAGAGCCTGGGCCCATGGAGACGGAGGGCAAAGGCCCAAGCCGCTTTGCCTGCCGCCTCTCCCCCTTTGCCCGCCGCCTCCCCCCCCCTTCGCCTGCCTCTCACCCTTCTCCACAGCCCATGGGCCGGATCCAGCCGTGGGCCGTAGTTTGGGGACCCCTGGTCTAGGGAGTCCCTGCTCTTGATCCTGCCGGCCTTGCAAGTGTGATTAGCAGAGAAAAGGGACAGGGCCTTCTCAGTGGTGCCCCCCCCCCCAACTATGGAACTCCCTCCCAGGGATAGTAGATCGGCCCCCTCCCTCCTGACTTTCAAAAAAAAGTAAAAATCTGGCTCTTTGAGCAAGCTTTTGAGAATGCAGCGGAATAGATAACACGGAACTATGGATGATGAACATGGAATGGCCAGACGATGTTACTGAATAACATTTTTAACAAGATGGCACCAATGATTATATGCTTTAACAGTTTTTATTTATGTTTTGTATTGTAATGTTGATTGCTTTTAATGGCACTTTTATGAATGCCTGACATTGAATTGTGCCAATCTGTAACCCGCCTTGAGTCGCCGTATGGCTGAGAAAGACAGGCTATAAATATCGTAAATAAATAAATAAAGTCCAACTACACGATATAGACCTACAATATTGAAACCAGAGGCAGAAAACTCTCATAAATAACTCTCTAAAAATACAATTATATAAGAGAAAACAACAGTTACATGGTGTTATGGTTCAGCATGCTCAAGCAAGCTTGCAAACCATAGCGGAAGAATAGCTTACAACTCCTGGTTTGTTTGGATGCAATTAATCAAAATCCTATTTTCAGATATCATGTTACTTTTTCCCATTCCTGCTTTGTTTGCCTATTTAAAAAAAAACAATCAAGTGAAACAGGAATGGATAGGCTGCATCCACTAGCCTGCAGTTCATTCATGTGTAGTATATAAAAGTCAGGCTGGCTTAAATAGATGTGGAAATGTGGCAGTAAGATATGTAAATAATACTAAATATCCCATTGAGGCCATTGGTTAGCATAACACTTTCTCCCTCACCAGATTAACATTCTCCACATTTAACCGCTGCTTAACAACAGGCTTCCTTCTCGAGAAAAAGCTCAGACAGCTAATAAAGTAGACATCTGTAAAACTGGTATTTTTAGTTTTAAAATAGTTGTTTAAAAGTTAGCCAATTTAGGAGTGCTGGCTTAGCCTTTAACAGTTATTTGGGACTAGCTGTACCCGCCACGCATTGCTGTGGCCAACCTTCCCTCCCTCTTTCTAGAGGGCGTGTGAAAGAATGACGGTGAGAAAAGCAGGGAAGGAAGTAAGCCAAAGAAAGGCAAGGAAAGGGCGAGGCAGGGAAGTAGTAGAAGAAAGAAAAGGAGAGGAGCTGACAGGAGAGAAAGAGGGAAGGAAGACCTTTTTCTTTCTCCCCTTCTCTCCTTTCTTCCTTCTCTACCTCTTTCCTTCCTTTGATTTTTTGCTTCCATTCTTCCTCTGTCTTTCCTTCCTCCTCTTTCTCTCCTTTCTTCCTTTTCTACTTCTTTCCTTCCTTCACTTTTTGCTTCCATCCATCCTTCCTTATTTATTTATTTATTTATTTATTTATTTACGGCATTTATATGCCGCTCTTCTCACCCCGAAGGGGACTCAGAGCGGCTTACAATATATATTCTGTCTTTCCTTCCCTCCCTCTTTCTCTCCTTCTTTCCCTCCTTCCTTCCCTCCTTCTCTCTTTCCTTTCTCCTTCCTTCCTTCCTTCCTTCCTTCCTTCCTTCCTTCCTTCCTTCTCTTCTTCCTCTTTCCTTCCTTCTCTACCTCTTTCCTTCCTTCCGCTCTTTGCTTCCTTCTCTCTTTCATTCTTTCTTTCCCTCTTTCTCTCCTTCCTTCGTTCCCGTTCCTTCCTTCCTTTTTCTTTCCCTTTTCCTCTCTTCTCTCCTTCTTCCTTCTCTACCTCTCTCCTTCTCTCTTCCCCTCCCTTTTTCTTTTCTTTCTTTCTTTCTTTCTTCTTCTTCTTTCTTTCTTTCTTTCTTTCTTTCTTTCTTCTTTCTCCCCTTCCTTCCTTCTCCTCTTCCCTTTTTTTCTGTCATTTAGCTTTTTGGGGTTTTAAGTCCTTTCCACTGTTTTTTTGGGGGGGGGGGTTATGAGTGATGGTCACTCGTTGGTCTGTTAGGGGTATAGTGTCCAAATTTCATGTTAATTCGTCCAGTAGTTTTTGAGTTCTGTTAATCCCACAAACAAGCATTACATTTTATTTATACAGATTAAACCCCATTACATTCAGTGCAATTAATTTCTGAGTAAATATGATGCTCAGTACATTCTTAAATGTCTAGCACATTATAAGTTGCTAAAGCATAGAAGTGTAATTGAAAAGTGCACACTAAGTTAGTTGGGTTTAATACTCCTAATGTAAAATAATAAGCCGTTACGAGGCATGCATGTATTTCAGACTAAACATTTCCATACCCCACATGCTATATTTTAAATTGTTATTAGTAATCTGACAAATAAAAGAAAATATTTTTAAAAGGTACAAAATAGAGCTTCAAAATTTGCCAAATTTGGCCCAATGAATTAAAATACATCCTGCATGTCAGATATTTACATTGCAATTCATATCAGTAGCAAAATTACAGTTATGAAGTAGCAACAAAAATAATTTTATGGTTGGGGGTCACCACAACATGAGAAACTTTATTAAGGGGTCACGGCATTCGGAAGGTTGTGAAACACTGATCTAGATACAGAGGCAGCCCTAGGTAATTTTCAACGGTAAGCAAACAGTATTGTGGTCCCCCCTCCCCCCAAAAAACAATCACTGAGATATATTTTCTGTTCGTAATGGGAGTTCTGTGTGCCATATTTGGTTCAGTTCCATCATTGGTGGAGTTCAGAATGCTCTTTGATTTTAGGTGAACTATACATCCCAGTAACTACAACGCACATATGTCAAGGTCTATTTTCCCCCAAGAGCGCCTCAAGAGCGCCCTTGGGCAAAATCAACTATACTGCAAATGCTTACTTTGCGTAATGGGTTGAGCCGCCCCTGTCTAGATATATCTATATAGAAATAGTTTAACATAAAATGTTATCAAAAATAACAGCAAAATGCACCACCCTTACTATTTTAATTCTGGTTACAGACATAGCTCCCCATTCCTGCATGACAATAGGATATCACCATACTGACCACTACCACCAACATATATCACTAAACAGAAGATCTAGGAAAGGAGGACATTACCTGAAACAAGTTGACGTGTGCATTTTTTTAATTTGCAGTTCTATATAGTAGGAATTGCCTGCTAAACTCAGTGAAATTTACTTCTCTGCTACCAACGTATTCTCAGAGATATTACAAGATCCCTTTGCTTACTTCTATGAGTAGAGATGTACAGAAGAATTGGCTTCTGCTATACCATCCTAAAGAGCTTAAGAAGGGAAATTCCCAAAAGACCAAAGCTTAGAGTTTTACCTTGTACTGTGCATCCCGTAAAGAGGATTACACAGAGAGCGATGAAAATCCTCCCGTTATGTTTGGCAAGCATGTCTGTTTTGCCTGCGCACCTCCACACTCCGCAAATTGTCACTAGGACTTTTCAAACAGTGGCAGGACAAGGAAAGCAAGTGCCTTTACAAAAGGTTTCAGAAACCTCAAACCCAACCCATGACTTGCGTCACAGCTTCCTGAGCACCGAAAAGTAGCTCATCTAGTATCAAAAACTAGATCTGCCTTCTACAGTTCTTAACCCACTTACCACAAGAAAACTGGTCTGAACATGTACAAAGCTATTTTGTGTCTACTCAGAAATAAGACCCACTAACTCAACAGGAGATAGTTCAAAGCAACTATACAAAGGATGTATGTGCCTTCATGGCAAGCCCAAAAGGAACCTATCATGGGACAACATGATTTTCACAGGCGAAGTGGTGGGAATCCAGGCAGAATTACTACAGTACAGGCAGTTCTCAAGTTACAAACAAGATAGGTTCTGTAGGTTTGTTCTTAAGTTGAATTTGTTTGTAAGTCAGAACAGGTACATTTTTAAGTGTAACTCCGGCCATATATATAAATGCTCTGTGCATAATGAGTACCTTAAAAACAAAAGAACCAATGAATGAAATCACACCAAATTTGGCAACAAAACGTCTCACTACACAAGAAGTGACCATCACTCAAAAAATTATGATTTTGTCATTTGGGAGTTGTAGTTCCTGGGATTTATAGTTCACCCATAATCAAAGAGCATTCTGAACTCCACCAATGATGGAATTGAACCAAACTTGGCACACGGAACTCCCATGACCAACATGAAAATACTGGAAAGGTCTGGTGGGCATTGACCTTGAGTTTGGGAGTTGTAGTTCACCTACATCCAGAGTGCAGTGTGGAGTCAAACAATGATGGATCTGGACCAAACTTGGCACAAGCACTCAATACGGCCAAATATGAACACAGATGGCATTTGGGGGAAATAGACCTTGACATTTGGGAGTTGTAGTCACTGGGATTCACAGTTCACCTACAATCAAAGAGCATTCTGAACCCCACGAACGACAGAATCGGGGCAAACTTCCCACACAGAACCCCCATGACCAACGGAAAATACTTAAGGCCATCCAATCCAACTCCCTTCACCAGGGCAAGAAAACGTAATCAAAGCCCTCCTGACAAAGAGCCATCCAGCCATAGATATAAATAGATATGATTCACACACACACAGATATAGTATCATAGATTTGAAAGGGACCCCTAAAGAAGGACAATTATATCTTTCATGTTCCAGGCAAATTAGACACTCTCCACATCAACATTGACAAAGAAACGACAAGAAATACTGTTTACCCTCAAGCATAAAGACATTACATATATTAGAAACCAACACTTTCTCATTACTTTATTTTCCAGATCAACAGACTGGGCTACAGCAACGCGTGGCAGGGGACAGCTAGTATATATATATGATGCCTGTTCTGACTTACAAACAAATTCAACTTAAGAACAAACCTACAGAACCTATCTTGTTTGTAACTTGAGAACTGTCTGTACTATATATACACACACAAGCCACCCCTTGCCACGCGTTGCTGTGGCCCAGTCTGGTCATCTTGAAAATAAAGTAATGAGAAAGTGTTGGTTTCTAATATATGCAATTTCTTTATGCTTGTGGGTAAGCTGTATTTCTTGCTATTTCTTTGTCAGTGTTGATGTAGAGATTGTATGGTTTACTCTGGAACATGCAATATGCAAATTTTCCTTCTTTAGGGGTCCCTTTCAAATCTATAATACTATATTTAATACTGATATTACGCTATGCTAATAATATAATATATTGTATGTATATATATCTTGTAAGCCGCTATGAGTCCCCTTCGGTGTGAGAAGGGCGACATATAAATGTCGTAAATCAATCAATCAATAAATATCTCTATGTGTGTGAATCATATCTATCTATCATCTATCTATCTATCTATCTATCTATCTATCTATCTATCTATCTATCTATATCTATGGCTGGATGGCTCTTTGTCAGGAGGGCTTTGATTGCGTTTTCTTGCCCTGGTGAAGGGAGTTGGACTGGATGGCCTTAAGTATTTCCTGTTGGTCATGGGGGTTCTGAGTGGGAACTTTGGCCCAAAAGTAAAGAGAGTGAAATCATGGAGGAATTTAAAAGGGTCTGGCCCTGAAGGAGAGACCCTGCGGACCCACCAAAAAGGGCTCGCTACAATGGTGAGCAAAGAGAAGCCCAATTTAAAAGGTTTTTCCTAAATTCCCAAAAGAAATCTCACCAAAGTTGAAGGAAGCACCACTGAGATGACTATTGCGATTCAGCTGAAAAGGATGCAAAGCAGCAATATTTCGCCAAGATAAGCATACAGTGTACAAAAATAAAGGTCTTTTTATACATAAAACAGAGCTTCCAGGTTTGAATCTCCCATTCCCTGCCCCTCTGCCGACTCGACAATGATTGGCTGGTGCTTTTCAGCTGGGAGGAGTCTTGGCCTTCTCCTGAGCACCTGGGCCAATCACTGGGCTTCTGCCGCCTTGGCGTCCCAACGAATCAGGAGAGAGGGAGGTGGGACGAAAGGAAGCAATGCATTCTTGAGTGGATTATGGAGATTTTGAGATGTCTAAGTGACCAGCGAGTCCCAGGGGTCTGTGAGCCAGTCTGGCTATTGTCACTGAGTGGCTGCAATAAACATTGATGTTTGGCGATCCTGCCAAAATCCGGATTTTTCCAGTGCTGAGAGACAGGAACAATGAGGGAATTTTGGCTGTGGTTTCAGTGGATAAAAGATGAATCGGTAACAGATTAGGACAAAGTATGGATTTCCAAAGGCTTCCGTTGTCCTATTGAAATATGATCATAAATGCCAAGTGACCGCTTCCTCTGGGGGGCCAACTCCAAGGCCAGAGGTCACGGTCCTTTGTTATTGTCCATGCAAAACGCGTCTTTTGATAAGGGTATTTTCAATTGGAGATTTCCTTCTTTCCAGGGTCACACAGGGGTTGCTGCCTTGTATTTTTATACATTTTTCAATAAAGGGGAATTGGGCAAAAGGGTCAGGAAAAGGTCAGATACACAGGGAGGAATATAGAAATCATGTTATAGAAAACATACCCACTTATCCCTCCCACCAGAGTCCCATAAAAGTTCAAGAGAGCACATAAGTGTAAAGGGAAGTGGTTTCTCAGTAATAAACGTGCTACCTTCTGCTATATATGAAACATAGGGCATAAAACCTTGATTAAATGTACACCCTATCTAACATGGGAAGGGTCCTTGTTGTTGTTAGTGTCTTGGCAAATTGACCAAGGCTTAACCCTTATTATCCAGTCTGGTGTCCTTGTCCTTAGCAAAACTATAAGTTACTATCTTTGGGGGGGGGGGTTCTGTCATTCGTGGGGTTCAGAATGCTCTTTGATTGTAGGTGAACTATAAATCCCAGTAACTACAATCCCAAATGTCAAGGTCTATTTCCCCAAACTCCATCTGTGTTCATATTTGGGCATATGGAATATTCGTGCCAAGTTTGGTCCAGATCCATCATTGTTTGAGTCCACAGTGCTCTCTGGATGTAGGTGAACTTCAACTCCCAAACTCAAGGTCAATGCCCACCAAACCCTTCTAGTGTTTTCTGTTGGTCATGGGAGTTCTGTGTGCCAAGTTTGGTTCAATTCCATCATTGGTGGAGTTCAGAATGCTCTTTGATTGTAGGTTAACTATAAATCCCAGCAACTACAACTCCCAAATGACAAAATCAAATTTTTTTAGTGAAGGACATACATTTGGTTGTTAGGTGTCTTGTGTCAAAATTTGGTGTCAATTAGTCCAGTGGTTTTTGAGTTTTGTTAATCCCACAAACAAACATTACATTTTTATTTATATAGATTTAGCTTTGAATCGCATAGGGAAGAATTAACATGCCTGTGGTGTTTGTTTTGCTATGTGTCTCTTTTCAGAAGATTTCACCGCACTTCCTGCCCCTGTGATGATTGTATTTTGAAAAAAATTGGCTTGTTATGGAAACCAAGATTAGTGAGAAAGCTTCAGTGGAGACACCTTTTCCCCATGATAACTCTTTCAGGAGTAAATTTCCCTTCCAAGGGGTAGATTTCTCTCGCTTCCTGTTGTCTCAGCCCCGTTCATAGCTAAGAGTCATTTGTAAGTCAGATGTTTGTAACTTGGGGACTGCCTGTACAATGCAGTAAGAGCCTTCTTATTTTTTCTTCTAATCTTCTTCATTAGAAGATGTGAAATTAATGTGAAGCTCACCTCAACGAACTGTCCACACATTCAGCAACCAAAATGTTTCTCATTTCCTTAAAAAACCCTCAAAGTTATTTTGGTTAAGAGGTGATAAGCAGGCTGTGTAGGAAACTCATAGGGTAGAATGACTCTGTCGCTTGAACACTACTACAACTTCCTTTATGTCACAGAAAACATATACATGATAACAATGTCATACTTTCCATGGAAAAGTTTAAACTACTGAAGAATTAAAATGCAGATTATTTTCTGAAAGTGATAAATCTACATAGTGTTGGTTTGTCCAGTCAAAGGTATAGTATCATCATGTATCATTGCCTCCCTCCTTATTTGCCCAAGGAAGGAAGGGAAGGAAGGGAAGAGGAAGAAAAGGAAGGAAGGAGAGAAGGAAATTTTTGAAAGGGAAGGAAGGAGAGAAAGAAAGAAGGAGAGAAAGAGGGAGGGAAGGTTGGCCACAGCAACGTGTGGCGGGTACAACTAGTATATATATAACTAGCTGAATTTGCCATGTGTTGCTGTGGCCAATCTTCCCTCCCACTTTCTCTCCTTTCTTTCTTTCCTTCATTCCTTCCCTTTTTTCTTTCCCTTTCTCCTTCCTTCTCTTCCTCTTCCTTTCCTCCCCCCCCCTTTTTCTTTCCCTTCCTCTTTTCACCCTTTCTTCCTTCTCTACCTATTCTTGGACTGCAACCCCCAGTAGTCCTCCTGATCAATCTATCTACCTACCTATCTCTATCTAATCTCTCTATCTGAAGGATTGTTGGGAGTTGCAGTCCAGGAATAGGAAATTGGAAATATGCAGGGATTGGGATGCTCTCAAAGAGAACCAAAGAGAAGAAAGCTTGCAGCTTGGAAGCAGTGCATTTGAGTCATCCTCCTCTCCTAAAGGGCCTGGTCTAGGGGATGATGGGAGCTGTAGTCCGGA